AAGCACCAGCACTGAGCACCCAGAGGGTGCATGGGGTCCCACTCAGGCTGCCCACTGCCCCCTGACTCCTGGGGCCCCACACGCACCTGCTGACCTGTGCTGTGGACAAGTGCATCCTCCACACACCAATCAGTGGGACATCCTCGTGAGTTGCTCCCCATGGGGCTCAGACACCGGACAAGGAAAAGGGAGGAGGGAGGCCATTAGTGGAGGATGTCAGTGCTGCTATCCATGAACCCAGGAGCCAAATTCCACAGCCCCACACCATGATGACCTTCCTCCACCCTTGAGCACTCATTGGAGATCCACAGGGACAAGGAGGCAACACTCAGAGGGGCCCTTGGGAGTCTCCCTTCCTTCCCAGCTGCCAACACACACTCCTCACACGAGTACCCTTACCTCTGCTGCCACAGAGACCCCTCTGCACGCTGTGGTCAGTGCCCTTAAGTGGAGCTGCTTGGTCCCAGGACATCCTCAATGGCTGCTCCTCGCTGCCACACTCACCCAGTATTCAAAGCAGAAAGAGCAAGGCCATCAGTGGATGAAGGCTGTGCAGCTCACATGAACCCAGGACCCAAATTCCCACCCCCAAGCCATGAAGCCCTGCCTATGCCCTCAGGAACTCCATGGAGATGCCCAAGTCCATGTTGCACTAACCAAAGGTCCTTTGGGTGATTCCCAACCCTCCACAGCAGCCCTTGTCCCCTGGGGATCAGCGTGTGCCACTCACCTTGGCTGTGGTCAGGAGCCCCTCCAGACACCAATGCTGGGGCTCTCCTGCACCCTACCAGCACGGGATGTCCTCCGGAGCTGCTCACAGCCACACTCACATACCCAGCAAAGGGAAAGCAGGAGCGAGGCCATTAGCAGGAGGCAGCAGGCCGCACACCCACAACATACAAGACACCTTCACCATGACCCAGCCATTACCCAAAAGCACCAGGGCCTTGCTAATGACCTCAAGGGTCCACACAAAAAAGCCTCTCCTGACGTAAATTCACCAGCCCCAGGGAAATCCATCCATGCCGCTTTACAGTGGCCCACCAACATCCCAAGGCACCAGCACTGAGCACCCAAAGGGCCCTGGGGTGCCACCTAGGCCTGACCACCACCCCCTGACTCCTAAGACCCCACACGCCCCTGCTGACCTGC